ATTTTTTCGGTTGTCAAAAACTCTATTTCTTGCTTAGTGCCTCATTTATTCGACAACAGCTTCGAATACTTACAAATATGGATGATTTATCCAAAAGCCTAGCGACTCAAATAAATCATTCCAACATTTATTCAGACTTCAACACTCAGTGTTCGAAATAAAATCAAAAATTCATACGCAGTAATTAAATTTTCGAATTTTATTCGAATCAGTTTATTAATCTTCAAATTTCGAATTTAGTCGGTATTCTACTCAGTGCTTGTAAATCACGATTATTTGATATTCGTTTGATCAAGATTTCGAATTCTGAACTTGTCCGATATTCATTTATGTTGAAAAAGTTCAGAGTTGATTAACTTTTCTGGAAAACAAGGAGTATCTGTCAAATTTCTGGCCTTCTGAAAAGAATACCGTTTGAATATGCAGTTGACTTTTCGTGTAGCCAACTATCTGATGAAATTTTATTTGATCATTTAAATGTCGATTAAGAGGAAAGAGGAAATATTGGTTTTTTTTTAATGTTCGAGCAGAAGAAAAAGGCAAAAAAGCTTCGCTCAACCAGAATGCTTTTCTTTTGACAATTGAATACTCGACTTTGAGTAGTGTAGAAGAAAAGTTCGATATAGATTAAGACTAGAACTTTCCACTAGAACTGAAGATGCGCTATCTTATTACGTGGAATCTCAAAAACTGAGGGGTGAATGTGGAGAGAAATTTTGTGAAATTAGGATCTTGTAGAGAATGTTTGGAGAAACTTCCATCCTTATATTTCAGAGTCAATTTTTGACGCTTTTTTCGCTCTTTTTTTCGTGCTCGTCTGCCTTAAAGGCATCTCGACAAAATTTGTTGTTTAGTGTTTCAACTATGCGGAATCTCTCGCCATGAGGAACCCATATCTGGGCTTTGCAGTGCACGAGAATGACAAAAATAAGCTTTTTCTTTAGTCCGCAATGAAAAATACATGCAAATTGGTGGATCCCGAAACGAGGGAGGCGGGATGCGAAAGACTTCCGGCGTATTTTGACCTGAAAAGCTTTGAAAAGGCTCATTTTTGCATTTTCATGCGCTGAAAAGCCCAGATATGGTGCGGGCTCCGAAAAGTCGAAAAACTGGAAAAGTTCTGCCGGGACACAGCCACTAACACACAGGATGTTCCAAAAAAATGTGTACACTTTTGATCATTGATAAGTCTCTTTCATTGATATCTTTCGCCGATTTTAAGTACAACTCTGTGGAGCTGCCTTTAACTTAGATTTGCAATATGCGATCTCTCTTCATTACTGTAGATTTAGGGTAGGAACTTCGGTGGGATTTTAAGCCATTGAGAGCCACTTTCTTACGCGGAAAACCAATCAAGTCAAGAACATTATACTAGATAATCGAAGTCTCTGACTTAGATTATAAGTTTGCACTTCACTGCGATGCTTTTTTTATTAAGTAGGTCTATAGTTATCTAAGGTCAGCCGTAACGACTGTTTTTCTAATGTTCGTCAGAAATATGATTACATTCAGAAAAGCTCAAAAACTCATAAAAGTTTTACGGCTAAATCAGCTTGTGTGTAAACCGTTACACATCTTGCAGTTTTTTTTTTCAGAATCTTGTAAGACGTTCTATTTCACGTTTTATATGCAGGAGTTTTTATCGTAATCCTACAGTAAGAGGAGCGTGTTTGAAAGTTCATGGGCTGAAGTACTTCAACTGCGAATCTTGACTAATTTTTTGCTATATGTGTTCGCTAAACCTAGAAATCACTGGATCAGCAAAGAAGAATATTTTTTGCCTCAAGATATACCTTAAAAAATTTGGAAGCAAACAAATTTTTCAGCTTCTTCGAAGAGGCGTTATATGAGTTATTAGACCTTTTTTCAACGCCGGAAAACGGAGACACCTTTTCGTTTTTTACCACAAGTACTCCTAAGTCTACATTTCTTCTATATAATAAAAGTTCCTCAGCAAACAAAAACGAACAAAAATTTTGCGAACAAAACTTTTTTCATGTGCTGACTTACAACAGACAATCGCGGCACAAATTTGCGTTGAAATTTTACCGGTTTAAAAAATTTGGAAGCCTTATTTCAATATGTGTTTGTAGCGCAGCTCTCTGATTTTCATTGTATCAATTTTCAAAAATTTTGCACGCTTGTGAAGGTTTTAAATGTAAAATAAGAAATTGTCGGTGCTGTGCTTTATTGACGAAAAAATCCTAAACTGGATCTCTTGTAGTTCGAGGCAGGTTATTCCAAAATGAATTATTAGGTTGGTGCAAAAGTTCTTTCCCCCCATTTTCAAAAATTCATAACTTCTGATTTTTCAATCAATTTGGCTGCATCTATTTTTGTATGAGAGAGTAACTCATGCTCTTTATAATGACATCTTAACTGCTTGCTAATGATCATCCGTTCCATAGAGAGGAGCGATAGAAGAAAATTAGTCAAAATTTGAATTTTCTGTGTAGGGTCATAAAAAATCGGAAACTTGCAAGAAAAATCGGAGCAGTCAGTATTGTAGGTTCTTTTACCAGCTTTTTCTAATGGTGCAAAGTTTGCATCGATTGAGCGTCTCCAAAAGTTAAATTTCCCTGAAAAATGCCAAAATAAATCAAAATCGCCCTTTTGTATTGCTTGCTCGAAAATCATAACTTTTGATAAAGATGCTCAATCGTTGCAAACTTTGCACAATTAGAAAGAGCTGGTAAAAGAACCTACAATACTGACTGCTCCGATCATTGTTGCAAGTTTCCGATTTTTTATGACCCTATACAGAAAATTCAAATTTTGACCAAATTTCCTCTATCGCTCCTATCTATGCAAAAGATGATCATTAGTAAGCAACTAGGATGCCTTTACAAAGAGTGCGATTTACTCTTTGATACTAAAATAAAAGCAGCCAAATTGGTTGAAAAAATCAGAAGTTATGAATTTTTGAAAATGGGGGGAAAGAACTTTTGCACCAACCTAATAATTCATTTTGGAATAACGTGCCTCGAACTACAAGAGATCCAGTTTAGGATTTTTTCGTCAATAAAGCACAGCACCGAAAATTTTTTATTTTACATTTAAAACCTTCACAAGCGTGCAAAATTTTTGAGGGATGGGGGAAAGAACTTTTGCACCAACCTAATACTTCTGCGAAATAAAAGCCCATGTAAAAAACCTCTGGCAAAGGGCTTTCAGAAGATATACCAAGTTTTCTGTGAATTATATTTCCTTCTTTGTTACAAGCTTTCCTAGGAAAGTGGCTCGGAAAGCTATATTGATATGTTTTAATCTAATAAAAAAAACTAAAAAACCACAAGAAAACCTGGTTCTGAAATAATGGCATCTAGGCTTGATGAGCACAATAAAACAAAAAGCGCGTCAAAATTCGAATCGGAAGTGCTTTAGGCCACTTTCTTTCCAAACACCGTGTAAGTTGAAGCCAGCTCTACAGAATGTAGATACCTGATCGGCTAAGAACTACACAAGAGAGTTATTGAGGATCAAATTGTGTGCACATTTATTTGGGACACCCTGTATTCGGAAGGGACCATTTTCCGTCTTTGCCTTTTGTAGCATATGTGCTTCTCCAGAATAGCAGTGCGTTTGGATTACAAAACATATATGCAGGAGCTAACCTAGGAAGTTATCGAAGGTGCTATTTAGAAAAACTACCTGTGTTTCGTACTCTGGAATGTATGTTGAATTTACGATAACTGTCAATATCATTGTTTTTCCTAAAAACCGTAATTCAGATTACTGCCACATCTTCATGTACGTAAAGTGACTTTAAAGTGATTGAAGATGAGCAAAATCGCTGTCATTTCTAAAAAAGTATTTTTGTTCGTAGGCCATTTGAATTTATCAAAATGTCCTTTTAGAGCAAACCAGGCAGATTATACGTTAATTTCGAGATGAAACTTTTTTCTATCTTTCTGCATCCATACCTTTCTAGAGATTCAAACATCACAGATAAAATAGCTTACCACCTCTGAAACCTTCAAGTTAGCCAGAAAAGGTCGATTAGTCATAAAATCCGGTTTTCTCATAATGAGTAGGGCAGGAATGCCCGGAATAAAACCATGACTGCATATGAAGATTAGAATATTAGATTCAAAAGCGGATATCGATGCAAGTCAATGATTGATTCGATATGCATGCAAAATTCTAAAACCGACTTCTTCTTCATTCAATGAAACAGTGATGAAGAGTGATTGTTGAATCAGTTCTTACTGTGATCATATTCTGAAGCCAGCTCCAAAATTGTCTAAAATTCTGAGATTTATTGAGACGAAAGAGTAATTAACAATCAAAATGTATATGAATCATTAAGTCAGTTTTTTCTTGTCCGTGCTGTAATTTTTCGAGAATGAGTATATGAATGATTATTACATTTAAAAGAGCAGAATGTGAGCTTTACATTTCATTTGGTTTGCTGAAAACGACAATCTATGGGCCATGCTTTTCAAAGGTTTTGGATGTTAAAATAATATACTAAACATCTTAAAATCACGAGTTCCGAAAGAAAAAATATTATGTAAACTTAATAAGAAAAGTTACATCGAGCGAACTCCTAGGGAGAGGTAAGGCAGGTCCCATGGTTGTTTGTTGGCTCTGAGTGACTCGATACACAAAAAGTATTGTTGGCGGTTTAAAAGTTAAAAGTGGCATATGCAGATTTTTGCAATTTTTTTGAGCGCTTTTCTGAGATTCTGGTTAAGATCCCTAAAAAGAAAAAGCAGTAATGCATGAAGTGCTTCTACTTCGTACCTTGACAGCTTTTCTGAGGAATTTGCCCGCTCAAACTTGGCGGAAGAAACGAGAACTTCCGGACTGATATTGTAGATACTTCTACACCTTTAGGATGACTGGCATTCAAATGGAAATCTTGAGTTATGTCATTGTGTTTATCATCCTTTATGTTGAAATACTACGCGTTGACAAGTCGCACATCTTTAGCGTCTGTTTCCCGCCTAGAGTAAGATTCCGACTCTCCGTGTCAATAACTATGCATAACAAGTACATTGTCGTCTAGGTAGATTTACCCTAGCTCTGAGAGAGAAAAAAGTGTGAAAAACGTTTCTAGCAATAACACAAAAGGCCCAGCAAACAAAAATTTATAAATAACACATGACTGTCGAATCAGAAAATAAAGACGGGTTCGCTCCAGATATCATAGTAAATCGGATACCACTCTTGCGTTGTTACATCCAAAAGGTAAAGTCCCTCATTGGCAATCCAGCTGCCTGTCGCGTAACAATCTTGAGGAGGTTTGTAGTCCCTATAAAATATATACTACATTAAAGGCAGGTTTCAGAAAATCCGGGCCCGTTTTTCGCCTGGAAACATATGAGGGTGTCCTATCTATGACTGCCCAAGCGGCAGCGCAAATGATCCGTTCAAGGCTGAGAAATCTACCTCCAAAGCCCTCCGCGCCTGCGCCGTGACCATAACACACTAGTGACTCGGGGCGGGACTCAACGCGAACCAATGTTGACGTGAGCAAAGTCATTTCCGGGTTACGGTCATGGCGCAGGTGCGAAAGGGAGGAGAGATTTCTCAGCCGTGAAATGAATCATTTGCGCTTCCGTTTGGGCAGTGTTTTAGACAGGACCCATTGGGGGTAGTGCGTCAAATGCTTGCGAGCAAGCTAGTGGTTATAGCATGAGTGGGCGAGAAGTTCTTAGACAGCAGGATGCCTAATCAGACACCATGGTTTTGACATGTCCCATACAGTGCTGATAGCGCCACTAGCCGCCCTTAGCCGCCGCTGCAGCCGCCGCTGCAGCCGCCAGCCGCCGTTTGCCGCTCATGCCCGCTTTTGTCCTCATGAAAGCATATAGATTCTATTTTCAATATGCTCCATCTAACCCTTTCATCTTCTATGCTTTTCTGATCTCGCTAAAGTGTGGATTGTCTCCTCTCATGCACCATCCGTGTGTTCGCTGCCGTCATTATTTAGTTGCCGTGAAAGCCTGAATATGCTGTTATTGGCCAGTTTCTCTATTGCAATCTTTTTTATTGCAAATTATTTCGTAAGCTCACGTATCCTGTAGCAATTCCTAAAATTTATTCGCTTTGTAATTCTCTCCGATTCTGCATAAACTCGGAGACGAAATTTACGCTATAAAATAACGGATGACAAAACAAAGGACATCTTGCTCTAAACTGTGGGAGATATGCTGACGCGTGACAAACAAAACGAAATGGTCTAGATAATTTGAAGTTACGAAGAAGATACGTTGCAGAAACATGTGTCAAATGTATAGGAAGCAAGCAAACCAGAAATTGAGCACACCCAGGTTGAAGGAGGTTACTTCAAATCGTTCAAGTCAAAATGAGTTCGCGATAGAGGTGGCCATCAATAGCGTTTCGGCTTTCATGGCAGCTGGTGTTTAAGGGACCTGTCACAGTTTGCCTAAAAGCGTTCAGAAACGCTAGAAAGCTTTTACTTTGGCAACTTTTCGCTTTGGAGCGTCGTTTGCAAAACGTTGTACAATATCAAAATGAGTACACTATCGCATTTACATGACAAGTCAATCACGGGCAATAGCGGCTTAAGTTCCACCACAACACTTCTTGTACTCGTCATATGTCTCAAGCAATCTAGAAGCGTAACCAATTCTTTTCACCTAACTTAAGATATCATGTTATTCCCAGTGAACGCTGGAAGGATATACGTGCACAGAAGTGCTTTGATGATGTGTTGTGCATAATGGTTGCTATACTAACTTGAAATCATGGCGACCAAATAGTTCTAGATTTTTTGCTGCGAAAGTGTGAGAATTACTCGGAATGCCAACGTCATCATAAAGTTTGAATTTTCGATTTCTGAGAAACCGCGAGATGTTATTGCAACAGTAGTTAATTTTGCTGCTGAATGAGTTTTCAGACTTAAGCTTTAGGCTTCTGGCGCTTTCTGGCGCATTTAGCCCTCTCTGGGGCTTTTGGCGTTTTTGAGCGCTTTTGGGCAAAGTATGACAGATCTTTAAGGCCTTTGGGCAAAGCAGGCGATTTCATCGTGCGATATCTCCAACAAAACAAACGGTTATAAGTCCATTGCATGTCGATTATTGCATTTCGGTTGTGACAGTTAGTCACGACTGGTCATGCTGGAGAACAATCACAACCGAAATGCGATCGGCGCAATAGACTCTAACTGTTTGTCTCGTTGAGGGAATCGCGGCGATGGAATCGCGTGAACTCTACACGAGGCCTAAGAATCACTGCGCATCAGCGGAATCAGAAAGCATGGAAGATAAATTGCATAGGCGGATGCAATGGAGCATAGTGAAAATTTGACAATTTCGCGCTCCCAAAATAATAAAAGCGACCAACGGCGGCTAGCGGCGGATGGCCAGTCATCATTTATATACTGAATGTTTGAGAAATTATTGAGTATTTATATTATTTTGAAGTCTATCACCTCAATTTAAGCATAAAATGACCAATGGAATTGCTTTCTATATGCCGCGGTGTAATCGAGTATTCTGCGCGGCGAGCGAAGAAAGTGACTCAGCTTGTCATGAACCCGGAATGTTAAAACAAGGGTAAGTTTGTTCGCATTTGATTCCAATAAAACAGCTGCACATAAATATTAGGTTTGCGCAGACATATAACAGCTTGGAACGGACAAACTGTCTCAGTTAGAGCCACAGCTCTAGCGGTTCAAATGCCCTTGCAACCGTCTGCTCGCCCTGCAAGGCGTTCGCGAATCTATTCTTTGAACGTTACCGAGCCATCCAATCTTAACCTCTGCTTAAGCATGGAAAAATCTCAGAGGTTGATTCTACAAATGCGATGCGGAAAATGACCAAACAGAGGGCCCACCCGCTGGGGATGTAATACCTTCATTGAGACGCCTATAAGATTTTAGCAAAGGATGTACATGACTTTTCTCACAAAAGCCGAACAACAAAAATCTTCGAGCAGCTCTTCAAAAGCAGCTATATTGAGTTCCTGATGAGCGCTTCTAACCTGGGTCAAGCGTAGGGTGTGGCACGCCAAACCTAGGGGGGGGGGGAGGGGGGTCGTATTGAGGAGTCAAAAGGGGAGGAGGTCGTAGTTGGGTAACCCGATGATAGTGATGACATGGTATTCATAAGCAGTTTGTCAATTAACCCCATTATGCAAAATACAAGCACAGGAGATGTTGACCATTTTAGCATAATAAAGTGGGGCTATGAAGTTTAATGAGTTGAATCTCGTAGATTTCACGGGAGTAATTTCAACCTGATTCGTCTTCTTAGCTCTGAGTAATATTTGGTGAAAGCGCAGCCATCAAAAGCGAAGAATGGGAAAAACGAGATTTTGTTAGCTTCTAACACAGTTTGGAGGTTTAAAGCGGAATTTCCGAGGTGGATAAAAAAGGAGTAGTGCTTCGTCATGACTGCAAAAACGGGTAGCTCATTCACCTTTGAATAAAGTTAATAATGTTAGAAAATGACCATTTCACTGGTGTCCTGGTATTTCGAAACTTCAGAATTTGCTCAAACTTTGTCTACAGGTGTTAACTGATATGCTAATTATGGGTATGTTGCCCGTTATGTTTGACAGTGCCTCCAAGTAGTGCTATCTTAAGCACATAGTTTAGGAGGTCTTAATGAGACAGCAATTAGAGGGGAGGGGGTCGTAACCACCAATCGTGTGCCACACCTCTTGCTTGACCCTGCTTCTAACTTTTTTCTGGTAAGAATTGGTTGTTGAGATTATCACCAGAGTTCGAAACACCTGATCATAGATCTGCTCAATCACAACGGTTGAACATGATCTCATCAATATAAAGGAGAAAAGCAAACTTCAATTTCATATCTTGATTGACGTTAAACAAGCACTTACAACAAAGTTGAGAGGTGACGCTTCCTTGATGTATCTTCATATATATCAATCACGATGCGGCCAGGTCGGAAAGGACTCTTGAAATACATACTGGAAAAGTCGGACTCTGTTCCTGTCTCGTTCTTGTCGCCGACACATTCCTTATAGTCCGCATGATGAAACACCACACGGTTGTCGTTTTTGCGATTCGTTCCATTTCGTCCAACAAGGATTGCGAGGACTAACTCAGAATTATTAAGAAGTCTGTCGTAGTACTCTTCATAGGCACTGAGATTCCAATTTACCGGATACTTGTCTTTCTCAAAAATACCATGAATGCATTCCGTTGTATAAAAATTATGTGTTTTTTGTCTGCTTTCCTTATTGACTGTAATGACGTGGGCTTTTGCGACGAACAGGTCAGAACCAGAATCTATTCCAGCGTTAGGGTCACACTTTTCCATATAATAATCGCCCTTAAAAAGATAATTTCGTCTATATAATTTAATATAAGGCGGTCTCCTAATACTTTTCAGTACTTTTGTGTCGAAGTGCTTCTTTCAATGTTTGTGTTGTTTGGAAAAAAAAAGTCAGCCAGCATTATTTCTGAAGTCTGTGGAATCAGATAAGGGTTCGACATACTTCCAAGCTTTTATGATCCGTAATTCGTTCGATTTAAGCGTTAATTCTTCTCTTATTTTTCTATCAACATGTCAAGTGTCATAGCGCCACTTTTGTACTGATACAAGAAGGAATCGAAAATATCGCTTCTAGTGCGGTAATCATCATCATTACTGTAAATGTGGAGAGTTCATCGTACACGGAATCGCGGGAATTATAAATATTACAAGAATGGCAAAATTGAATTTCAGCCAGGGTAAAGCGGGGGGTGCGGCACTCGACCGTCGGATACGACCCCCCCCCTGATTGCTGTCTTAATAAGATCCCCCTCCTAAACTATACACTTAAGATAGTATTACCTGAAGGCTCTGTCAAACATAATGGACAACATATCCATAATTAGCATGTCAAATACCCCCTGTAGACAAAGTGTGAGCGAATTCTGAAGATTCAAGATACTAGGCTACCTAAGTGAAATGGTCAAATTCCAACATGGTTAACTTTGTTTTAAAGGTGAATTAGCTATCCGTTTTTGCACTCAAGACAAAGCACTACTCCTTCTTTGTCCACCTCAGGAATCCCGCCTCAGAAGACCTCCAAACTGTGGAATTAGAAGCCAACCAAAATCTCATTTTTCCCATTTTTCGCTTTTGATGGCTGTGCTTTCACCAAATATTACTCAGAGCTAAGAAGACGAATCAGGCTCAAAACATCCCTATGGAATCTACGAGGTTTAGGCTATCGATTCATATAAATATTGTCCGCTAAAAATGTTTTTTTGATATAGTTAATGGCCTGCGGCACCCCCCCTCAAAACCTGCGGCTGCCGCAGGGGTGCCGCAGGGGTGCCGCAGGCCATTAACTATATCAAAAAAAAAACATTTTTAGCGGACAATATTTATATGAATCGATAGCCTAAACCTCGTAGATTCCATAGGGATGTTTTGAGCCTGATTCGTCTTCTTAGCTCTGAGTAATATTTGGTGAAAGCACAGCCATCAAAAGCGAAAAATGGGAAAAATGAGATTTTGGTTGGCTTCTAATTCCACAGTTTGGAGGTCTTCTGAAGCGGGATTCCTGAGGTGGACAAAGAAGGAGTAGTGCTTTGTCTTGAGTGCAAAAACGGATAGCTAATTCACCTTTAAAACAAAGTTAACCATGTTGGAATTTGACCATTTCACTTAGGTAGCCTAGTATCTTGAATCTTCAGAATTCGCTCACACTTTGTCTACAGGGGTTAATTGACGTGCTAATTATGGATATGATACGAATATCATGTTATCGCTATAATCAGATCACCTAACTACGACCCCCTCCCCTTTTGACTCCTCAATACGACCCCCCTCTGCGGCATGCCGCACCCCCCGCTTTACCCTGATTTCAGCTTAGATTGCGATGATGATCTTGAGTTTTTGAATTGATGTGATAACAGACACGTACGTAAATCTGCACATGTCTGCGCAAAACGCGCCCATGACCCAATGCAAAATTAGCCGGCGCGCATGGTTTACCTTTCCGAAGCACGTCAAACACAATGAACTTGCGCTTTTTTGCATGCACTTCTTGCCGGGTAAGTGTTTTTTGTAGTTCTTACCAGGAAACAAAAGATTCTTTGCTTTTTGCCACACATATGGTTACATGTGACTAGTGGGTCTTACATACCCTCGATATCATCCCATATGTCTTCCCTCAACATGACCTGGATTACGTGGGTTGATGAGGCGCCGCCTCGCCTCGGGCTAGCGCCACGTTGCGAGCGCATCATTTGGCGCGACGTGGCGCTCAACACAACGTGGCGCATGCTTTTTCACGTTTTTCTTGTTGCCACATCACGCCGAAAATGCGCACGCAACGTGGCGCAAGCCCGAGGCGAGGCGGCGCCTCATCAAGCCACGTAATGCACGTCATGTTGAGGGAAGACATATGGGATGATATCGAGGGTACATTGAAACGTTGTGATCTGCAGCTGTGGAAAAGTATTAATGTTCTTCCAAAAATCATGCCACAATTCATAGCGTAAAGTATGTTGTACAGAAGGAATTTTTGATGATTTTGGAGTAATGTGATTGCAGGTGAACTAATGCACGTTTGTTCTCCAAGCTTTTGCTTCAGTAAATCCATTCAAAGGCAAAAAACATTTTGGTGTTCTGTTAGTTCGATAGATTGATAGACATTAACACAAAACTCTTTTGTTCCTGTCATACCTAAAACCCTATTCAGGTGCGTATACGCATCTCAGATAAGTAAACAAACCATCGAATATGATGCATTCCCCAGAATTGTTCCCATATGACCCTTTTGACATGTCAACTACGAATAAGCGCCTTGTTTCTGCTGGAGTTGAAGTTTTGAGACGATCGAAAAGCACCTACGTTGATGGTCCATATGGGAACAATTCTGGGGGATGCACGATATCAAGCGCACATTATATGCTTTTCATCATATTCCTTGGTATGGTTTCGCGTAAACTTTGACCTACAAGGAGAAGATACTTGATCGAAGTGGAGTATTCCATATAAAATGTATGCTGTCTTATAGAGGATGGAACGTTGATTTTAAATCTGCCTTCGGTATCCGCAAAGCACTTCTGGGATATGCGATATTTTAGACAAAAATTTCAGAGTTTGGTTGAGGTAAAACAGGCGTAGAGGTCTTTCCGGCTCTTTAAAGGAGTAATGACTAGCATAACTTTATAAAGCTAAAGGTGTTAATTGCATGAAGCGCCCTGGCGGTTACCATGGGCAGTTTGAACTACGGACTAAAGTTTTGAATGATGTTTATTGTTGCAGCTCCTTCAATTTTCTGTTTCAAAATCCATGACTCTTTTCCCAGAAGAGCTTTGCAGATAATGAAAGCAGATTTGAAATCAGCGTTTCATGCTCTATAAGAGAATATACATTTCATATAGATATGCCACTTCGACCAAGTATCCTTCCCTCTTAGAAACAAAACAGAGTTGTAAGGATGAGGATAAATTTGTGGTGGAACTACTCTAACAGAATGCGTGGTAGGTTTTTTCACAACGTTCGTGTCCGAAACATAACAATGCTTACAATTTCACAACTCGATTCTGCTAAGGATAAGGTGCTATAACAATTGATCAAACAGGAACAAACGACCAACAAAACCGTTTGATTACTGTTGTCTTCTGGAAAAGTTGTTCACAAACAATACATTCCAAAATAGAAGGTCTTTAGCATTGTTTTCTTTGCTTATTCATGATCGGCGAGCTGTTCGTATCAAAATTGAGGTTGTGAGCATTGTTATGCTTTGTATCATGTAGTTTATCGCTTTGATAACGCCCTACCATCACCAACCACCTAAGCCCTATTCGTTCCAACTCTTTGGGAAGAGCAAATAGCTGCTGAGTAGCGATATACTCAGAAAAAATAAGTATGCATTCAAAATCCTCGAAACGGACTTGATTCTCAGCGCAGTGGAACTTTTAAAATGTTACAATACAAATCTTAAGCATTAGTAGAATACTAAAGGTTTGGTTAACTATAAGAGAACGACTGCTCTTCTGTTTCGTTGAAAGCAAACTGCACCAGACCGAGCACTAAATTTCAATTCAGCTTAGACCCGAGACATGATGTAGAAGACAATCTGAACATACTGACGGCATTCACATTACGCATTTCGAATATTTGAATATCGAATAATATTCGAAAATCGAGATTCTCGAATATTCGACTATCGAATATCATTCGTAATTTGAAAATTCCGAATATTCGACTATCAAATATTGTTCGAAAATGAAAATTTCGAATCGAATAATATTCGAATATCGAATATCATTGGTTATTCGAATTTCGAATTTTATTAGGTTCGCAAATGTTATTCGGTTTCAAAAATCATTCGATTTTCGAATACTGATAGAATGATTACGTCACTAAGACTGCCTATGAAAGGCCAAAACATCTAAGAATAAATTGTTTTATGAAAGTGTTAAGAATGGACACTTTCTTATGTTACAATTTACGATATAAAAACGGTTCAATCGTGACGTGAAGAGGCTTAGGAACTTAAAAGCTACTCCTGTGACGGTTGTGAAGAGATTTTTCGTACTTCAAAGAAAATATATACTCTAACTGAGAGTTGCGATTGGATATACAGCGATCCTAACAGTATATACAATACCACTCGTGATTTGTAAAAAAAATTGGCGGCGGCACTTAACTGACGGGCGCAGCTGCAGTTAGGCGGCCGCCGCGGACGCGGCGTAAGCCGCCTAACTAGCGGCGGTTGGCGCCTAACTTTGTCGCGTAACGCGAAAACTCAAAAAAGGCCTTATCTTGCTTCAAAATTTCTGCATTCTATATTTGAAAGTACCATTCAACTCAGCTCGGCGAGGCGCATCTTCCAGTACATAGATATGCGTAGTCGTGGGATATAGGTTTTTTTTCTTGGAATTTTAGTGTAAATAGATCATTCAGTGTGCTGATTTCAGAGGCTACATACACATTCTGCTGAGCACTGCAGAAATACGGCAGGCACAGTTTAAGAGCATTCTGCACGGATATGTGTTAAATAAAACTGGGCTTTTCTCGGCGAAGTATGACGTGTCCCAAAATGCAGGAAGACAAAGGGGAATGGCGGGAAATCGCATGCGAAGCACATATCGTGGAATGCCGCGCGTGCTATGCAATGAACAATACCATCCACAGAACGGGAATTTCGCGAAATTCCAGAAATTTCGCGATCCGGACTATCGTAAATTACGCAGCACCATAACTTCCTTCGGAATGGATATAATCTAAACCCGAAAGCAGCATTGTGATAAGCTCGTCAAGGCGAATCTTTTGACGTAACTCATGCCCTCTATATCTCGTTTACAGTTTTCTCAAGTTTTTCT